CACACACACACACAATGGAATTCTGGTAACACTATAGTTTTGTGAGTCATTCCCATTTAGATTTCTCTCAGGGGCCACAACAAACTACAACTCCCAGAAATCCACAGCATTGAGCTGTGACAGTTAAAGTGGTGTCAAACTGTATTATTTCTGCAGTGCGGATGCAGCCTGAGGCACAGGTTTTGTGTGTGACTTTGCTTGCATTCACACTGCAGAAATAATCCAGTTTGACACCACTTTAATCGCCATGACTCAATGCTAGGGAATCCTGGGAATGGTAGTTTACTGTGGCACTAGAACTCTTTACAGAGGAGGCTAAACATCCCACCAAACTACAAATCCCACATTTCCTTAGCATGGAGCCAGTGCAGTTAAAGCAGTGTCAAACCGGATTATTTCTGCAGTGTGTACGCAGCCTCATTCCGGCAGGAAAGAGTCAGCATCTCCAAACTACAAATCCCATTATTCTGAAGGATAGAGGCTGTTATCTGCACTGCACTGCAGAAATAATGCAGTTTGCCCTCCCCACTGCTATGGAATTCTGGGATTTGTAGTTTTGCGAGCTCTTTAGGCTTCTCTGTCAGAGGGCTGTGGTCCCACAACGAACTACAAATCCCAGATTTGCCCAGCAATGGAGCCAGGTCTGTTAAAGGCAGTGTCAAACCGGATTATTTCTGCTGCAAATGGCACCATTTCAGTCACACCAAAAGAACTAGACAAACTTTTATTTTTTGACTCAAAATGGTGGCTTGACAAAAAAAAAAGTTTGAAGCCTTCTTTGGCAGCCAGAGACGGAAAAGAAGAAAAAGGGGAAAGAAAGGACTCCAAAAAAGAAAATCTGGGTGGAAAGAGTGAATTCATAGCTTGAAAACCAAATTCATACAAAGGTCCTCCTCAGTCCAAGAAAGAAGGTCAAGGATGAGAAGAAGGACTTTCCCTTTTCTTTTTTTGAATTTGCAACATTTTGCAAGAAAAAGGAACAGAATGAGCAGAGCAGAAAATGAATAATAATAATAATAATAATAATAATTATTATTATTATTATTATTATTATTATTATTATTATTATTATTATTATTATTATTATTATTATTATTATTATTTTGCAAAAGTTGGCCTCACCTCCAAAGTGGAAAAACTGATATATTTTTCTGGTTTCAATTGAAATAAAAAAAATCCATATTTTGCAAAGAAGGAGTAAAGGTTTGCCCTTCAGAAAATTTGAAATAAATTCGATTTCTGCCCTCGTCCAGTTTTGCAAGGATCTTTTGAATCTTTTCTTGAATATATTTTGAATGTTGGTCATATTTAATAATTGAGTATCTTTTTAACGTTGTTAATATTTAGGTTTTGAAAACCTTTTGAATATTGGCAATATTTAGTTATTGAATATGTTTTGAATGTAGGTAATATTTAATCACTGAATATCTTTTGCACATTGGTAATATTTCATTACTGAATATCTTTTGAATATTGGTAATATTTAATTCTTATTAGGATCTTTTTAATATTTTGAATATTTTTGAGTATCTTTTGAACGTTGGTAATATTTAATCATTGAATATATTTTGAATGTTGGTAATATTTCATTATTGAATATCTGTTCAATGTTGGTAATATTTAATTCTTATTAGGATCTTTTGAATATTTCAAATGTTTTGAGTATCTTTTTAAAGTTGGTAATATTTAGTTATTGAATATCTTTTGAATATTGGTAATATTTAATCATTGAATATCTGTTCAATGTTGGTAATATTTAGTTACTGAATATCTTCTGAATATTGGTAATACTTAATTCTTATTAGGATCTTTTGAATATTTTGAATATTTTTGAGTATCTTTTGAATGTTGCTAATATTTCATTATCTTTTGGATGTTGGTAACATTTAATGACCTTTTAACTTTGGTCTTTTTCCAATTATTATGGTAATCTGCTTTGAATCCCATCATGGGAGAAATAAATAAATAAAAATTAAAAGTAACTTCCAAACCGACACAGTTATAAATATAAAGGTCTTTGCAAGCTGGAAAGGAAAGAGAAGCCACTTCTTCCCAGCCAAGAAAGGACAGGGGTTAAAAAGCCTTTCTGACACGCATCCTTCCCCATTCACACGAGCCTTCTGACCCACCTCTGAACACGTGTCTGCCGCCTCCGGAGTTCTTCCTCCTCCTCTCTAAACGGCAGTTTTAATTCAAACCTCTGGAGATCCCACCCATTATGAGACGCGTGTGCTTCACCTTAGGACCCAATACACGTGCACACAGACACATACACACGTGCAGGCAAAGCCAACACGCGACTGAAGGGAGGGAAAGCCCATCTGCCAATCCCAAGGCACCAAAGGCAAATAAAGTTTGGGGCTCATTTCCCCCCCCCCCATTGCCCTTGAAAAAGGGATTCAGACAGGGGGATTCCCAGACACGTGTCAGCTCCTCTTGTACACGGATCTTTCTTCCTAACTTAATTAAGGACCTGCAAAGTTTATTAGAAAACAAGTCCGATTTTTAAAAACAAGATTATGAATCCCTCCACCTGCCCATCATAGAAATCACACACTCTCAGCCTCAGATTATCAAGCCACACAACCTGTTTATCAAGTCACACTCTCTCAGCCTCAGAGGATATCAATGGCAACCCCCTCCCC